AACGAAAGGTAGAAAGAGCAGCCTTAAACTATTCTATATGCTACTTTAGTGTTATAAGAATATGGACCTTAGAGATCATCGTCCAAAACTGTACTTGCCTGGGGTCATATGGGCAGAACTCAAGCAGAAAGAGAGCTAGAAGTCTCTTCCAACTCCCAACTCACTGTCCTTTCCTTAAAGAATGACTGTTCTTAGTGATACACAGGCCAAGCTCTCATCACTTAGCATTTGTTTTCACTTAGTAAGACACTTTCATTGATAGATGAGAACCTGTATTTTTCCTGTAGCCGATTCCATGAAAATTTCTCTTCTACATATTTGCTATTCTTCTCTATGTAAATGTCTTCAGATTTAAATACTGCAAAGCAAATGAATTCAGAGAGTACATTATTATATTCGTAACAGGAGGTCTAAGTATCATTCACGCTGAGTGAAAAGATAATATTTAAATGTGTACTCTATCATTGTTTATCAAAATATTTAAGTAAACAATAATTTTTAAAAACAAATCATTCACTTTATGAATAAACTTAAATCGTCAAAATTGGTCATCTGTTTGGAATGACAACGTTCTTCCTTTGTAATAGTTGGTGGCCAGATACTCAAGGCAGCCCCAAAAGTTTAGTAAATCCCTGCCGTGGCTCCGGTGTTTACATTTGTAATGAAAATGGGTTGAGAATGAATACAAATGTAATTCTACTAATGGAAATTATTTAAAATACAAGGTTAAAGGACTGGACACAAGAGCTTTCAAGTCCCCAGGAAGGAGGAAGGTAGTGGGTTAACAGTAGGTCACATAGTTCCAAGTATGGACGCTAGGTGGCACTATTGAACTAGAACGACCCAGTTATTTGCCAAGGTTTACATGAGGGACGTTTATATAATGACTGATCCTATCACAAATATTCACATAATCTCTGTCTTCAATTTGTTTATTTATTTTGACCTTTGACACCACTGTGATTTTAGTTCCAAAGGAAACTGTGACCAAGAAAAATATTGATAGCTCACAGTGTGTCAGTTTTTAAGATCTAAGGAGGAAAAGTATACAAGAACTCGTTCACACTCAGGGCTCAGAAACACGAATTCTGTCTCGTTCACATTTTGGTGGCTGACTATGGATCAGTCTCTCAAATTCTTTGGCTGGCTCCAGTTTCGCAGTTTTAAAAGGTAAGCCATGAGACAAGGTAACCAAGATTAATCAGTTAGAAATAAGATGGTACAGGTTAACCAGTGAGGTCACTCCTACCCAGTAAATCTGTTTGGACTTTGGTTCTCCCTCATTCAGACTCGTACCCGTGGGGCGGAGCTGACTGAGCACAAGGTACATGCCTCAATATCAGCAAATGCGCCCGGGGGGGTCAGAAACACCTGAGCACATTCTCTTCACAGTTCATCATGTTAAAACTTTCATTTTTGTCTCGCCTTGACTACTTACTGTCATAATCGCCTTCTGAGATACAGTAACTGGTCTTCACAAAATGCAAACTTTAATATAAAGTAACTCCAACAAAACATTTCTTAAAACGAAGTTTCTCAAGTATGTTTGGTAGGAAATAAATTTACTTGTCAGCATACCTGCCTATGAGAAATGAAGAGGGGAGGGCAAACCGCCGCTCTGCTATTTAAAGAGGAAGTTACAAACTTATCTAAAGGGTGGGGTATTGGAAGAAGTCGTACTGATTGGAAAAAATTAATGAGTATCATTCTAATCTAGAATAAGTGACAACCCATTTGAATGACAGACTCCCCAGCTCCCCTATAGCCATTGCTACCTGTGCTTTTTCTCAGCAATGAGACGGGTATAAGCAGTTTCTGTGTAGCTGGAAGGTGATTACTAAAAATCAGCACACACCTGCATTTTTTTAAAATAACAGGACAAGCACCAAAGAATGGCAAGTGGCGTGTCTGCACCTCAGCCCAGATCCACGGGCAGGTAGGTGACCTACACTGACTACAAGGCCATGAGGTCCTCCAGTGTCTTCCCTTTTAGTTTTTCTTCCCTTTGTTTTCTAGGCTACTCAGTTGTAACAATTCTCTTATAAAGGGCAAGAGCAATGATTCAAGTGTGCCAAAACCTGTGGTTTTAGACTAAAAATGTGTCTGGTTGGTGTGGCTCAATTGGTTGAGCGTTGCTCCACGGACCAAGAGATCCTGGTTTGATTCCCAGTCAAGGCATGTGCCTGGGTTGTGGGCTGGATCCCTGGTGGGGGATGTGCAGGAGGCAGCCAATTGATGTTTCCCTCTCATTGATGGTTCTCTCTCTCTCTAAAAAATCAATAGAAACATATTTTTAAAAAATGCACCAAGGCCTCACTGTGGCTCTTCTTTTAACTGATCTGACACCAACTCTCTGGTTGGTGGCTACGAGAAAACAATGCAGGTGCTTAGTCTCTGCAGAAGCTAAAACATACATGAAGCGGCCAGGGGGGCATGTTCATCTCCTGTTGCTGCCTCGGGGGACGTGGAGAGTTCTTGGGACAGAGCAGCTATGGAGCTGCTTGGTCTTCAATGTCACCACAGAAAAATCTCCCAAAAAGACACCCCCTGACCAGGAAACAGTGGAAGTTACTGAAGAATAGCTCAGGGGTTTATTTGTTGTGTATATGACATGTGGTAGCTGAAGACAGATCCTGGGTGATATTCAAAATATTTAACAACCACCCAGGAACTGAATCCAGGCCAAGGTCCTCAGACCCCCTCTGTGCCATGAATCACCCCTTCCGTTACTTTGTTGTTGTGGGAGTGAGGGGCAGCCAGGGTGGTGGGTACACCTGCAGGCGGGTGCGGAAGGCTGTAGAGATGTATGTCACTGTTTACCACCTGGCCACGTGCTGGCCCTGGGTTTACAGACCTCTCTTCCCACTCGGGGATCAGACGTCCCTCCTTCCCGTCTAGAGGAACCCCGGAGTGCTGATGTGCCAAACTCCAGGGGAAAACCATCTTAATTCATATGGGAACTACTGCAGCCGAAGGCAGACGAGCTGACAGTAACTCACTTTCCAGGAGAATGTTCTACTTTAATTAACGTGCCTACAGGTCGTAGGACCAAGGCCCCCAGTTTCTGAGAAGTCACGTATTTAAATGAAGCAAACAGCTGGGAAGTCAAGAGGAAATAACCCGACAACAGCAGTACGTGGGTTCCTGGAGTCCGCCTTTTGTCCGTGGCTTCTTTGTATTTAAGAAGAGCACAGATAAAAATGTCCTCATCTAAGTTCTCAGGCCTACACCCCAATGCTGACCTTTGGTGTGGCATCCTGGGACCCGGAATAGCGTTGGTTCCAGATCCCGGGGTGGATGACGTGTGACATGGGCTCACTGATACTCTTCCCAGATGCTGGGACAGCGTGTTCATCTCAGTTGACAACTATGTGTCTCCAGGACCCAGTCAGCCCTTATCTAATAGTCTCTCTCTCTCTCTCTCTCTCTCTCTCTCTCTCTCTCTCACACACACACACACACACACACACACACACACACACACACACACACGCTATACAAGATGAAGCCAAAGAGGTAAAATAACAAAGAATAATGTAAACCTTTTCATCAAAGGAGTCTAATTTAGGATAAGACCCCACCTTGCACAAAGACCAGAGATTCTCTTGTCTCCTAGAACTAAACAATTGGTCGCAGGAAGGCTCCTTAAAATCTGAACTCCTTCAATTGTCCATTGTTAAAAGGGCGAAGGAAGACCTCGCTCCCCAAGCCGACGACGTGGGCCTTGCTACGCTTTGGTTCTTGGGCCCACACCTCCTGCTGAGGAGCCAGGCCCGCAGGCCCACCTTGGGTTGCGGGTCCCATTCCTGCGTGTAGGTCCGAGGGAAGCCACGTGTGAACCACAGAGCTGGGAGCTAAGGCAGCACCGCCGCCAGCCAGCCGTCTGCCCCCAGCACCGCACTGGGGTGGCCGGGCCACCTCGAGGGACACGATCCCGGGCTCCTCTAGGCCAAGCCCAGTTTACCTGGGCCTTCGCACCTGCCAACGACACGGTGTGCTGTGTCCTGGCTGCGGCAAGGGAGGCAGCGGGCGCATCCGCAGAGCCTCCCGCAGCTGCTGGTCTCCCAGCGCAGAGCGCCGCCTGCCGTTCAGGAGGACCGAGCGGAGCGACAGGGGGACTGGGGAGTCGCCGTGCTCCGCTCCCCCCTGGGAGGGAAGAAACTGTCGTTTGTCTTTCTTTCCGGGTAAAATAATAATGACCAAAGTAAATGAATTTCTGAAAGTAATTATATTTATAGTGCTACTACGGGCAACCTTCGTAATTGCTTGGCTGCATTCTCTTTCTTGCTTCTCTTTGGAAACCACTCCATTCGTCAGGATAAAATCATAATTGTGTTTTCAGCTGGCCGCTCTCTCTATCCTATTCGGCGGGATTTCGTGCGCCAGGGCCACGGACGCGTCATCGCACAGTGGTTCCTTCACGCCCGTTTCCATCCGTGGACTCCAGACACGCACAGCCTGCTCATTAGTTCACCCCAGCAACAAGCTCCGGACAAGGCTCATGGGCGTGGGGCCCCTTCACGTTCCGGAGGCAGAGAACACGGGAGCACCAGGCCTTTGTAACACGGCGGTTCAGGTTTGGACCTGAAGGTCCAGGTCTGGGCATTTGGGTCTCAATTCTAACCTTGCTTCGAGAGCTAGCGGAACGTCCCCTCCTTAACAGAGAGGTGATTTCACCCCTTTATTTCCTGAGTCCCCCCCTTTTTTAAATCCTCACTGGAGGACATTTTTGCATTTATCTTCAGATAGAGCAGGAGGGAGAGAGGGAGGAAGAGAGAGAGAAACATCAGTGTGAGAGAGACACATTGAGTGGTTGCTACCCACACGACCCCAACCGGGTGGGGACAAACTGCAACCGAGGTACGTGCCCTTAGCAGGAACCCAACCGGGACTCTCTGGTCCTCTGCGTGACTCTCTAACCACTGAGCACCGGCCAGGGCCTGAGTCCCTTCTAAGGTGATAACGCCCGAAACAGGAAGAGCTTGCTGTCGAACAGTTACCTGGGTCTTTGTAGATGCTGAGCACGCCCTTGAAGTAATGAGGTAAAAATCTTTCCAGTAACAGCAGCACATCTTCCAACTCCTCAAGGATCCCCACAAGCAGGAAGTTTTCATTCACGTTCAGTTTCGCTCTTTCTAGGGCCCACTCACCAGGCTCCCTGTAGGGACAAAAATCATTTTTCAATCAGAGATTCATTTTTCAATCAGAGATTCATTTTTGAAATGCAGCAACAACTCGGTGAAAGTGTATCTCTTCTACCCCGCCCCCATGTGCATAAGGCCACATCCCATTTCTTCAAGGACCGCCTGATGGAGCTGCCCCCTGCAGCATGGCTGGCCCTCCCGCCCGCCTGCCTCCCAGTGCCCTCCAGTGCCCTGGCTCCTCCCCCATCACGCCCACCTGTGAGCCACGCCCACCTGTGAGCCACGCCCAGCGCAGGGCCCAGGGCTGCGTGAGCCTTGTATTTTTGGAAGAAGGATACAGGCCCAGGCAGTTAGGTCCTAGGGGGCGACCAGCACCGCTTTTTGATAAGAGGACCAAACAGAACCAATGCAACAAAGACAGAAGTTTTGAAACGTGAAACTTACTGACATAGTATTTCTGTAGGACTCAGAATAGGGGTCAGGTCATGTTTGCTAATCATCTTATCCTTTTTGAGTTTAAAGACATTTAAAAAAATATTGTCAGACAACAGCCGAGTCTCATTTGTAGAGCAGGTCTCCAAGCGGATAACATGTAGGTGAGTGAGGAAAAAGGGATCACGGGGCTGGGCTCCAGCCTGGCTGGCATTTACCTCCTGGGAGAATTGGGGCAAGCCAGGATTCTCTTTTGAAAAACTGTAATAAAAATCCTTACCGAGCTCAAATAATTGTTGTCAACGTGGGACAAAGTCACATCTTGAAAGAGCTTTGGAAATCATTGTGTCTGAACCAAGATAAGACACCAGGAGTACTCTCTCCAAGATTAGGAAATAGATAATCTGAACAAATACTCGAGGGAGCTAGAATCATGTTTCTTGAAATAAATATCTTCACTGTGACAGAAAGTGAGTCATCTGGCCACAAACTGTCCCAGTATCTAAAGTGTTGACCTGGAACCAGGTGGCCTTGAGGATGGCGGGAGGCCTCCTGAACTCAGGACGTTGAGGATGAAGCAGAAAACAGACACGTTCTAGTCCCGGGATTCTGACCATAAGCAAACTCCTGTGTATGGTGAACTGAGGGCACAACAATACACACAACAGGCAGTAATCACAACTGTTCAGCAAAAAGCACAGTGACTGAGCCACAATTTGGGAACAGCTACCTTCCAGGTCTCTTCAGGAACACAATGACCTTCTGATTAATGATTCTTTCTGGAGAACACGGTTTATTTTCTACCAAGCAAAGACAGTATTCATTGTTATTACCATTTCTTCTCCAGGCTACACATTTGCTTAGCATAGTAAATTTCAACTGTAGCTAGACCAGAACCACCTTGAAGATGGGTACAAAGACCTGCCCCCCCCGACCGTGATTAGGTGGGGGTTCTTAACAAGGGGTGGTCAGCATGCTGATGCAGCAGGTGGGCGCTTGCGATCTGAGTAAGTCACTCTCTAAAGAAGGTAATACTAGAAAGTACTTTCCTCTCTTTCTACTAAGTAGGTTTCATGAGAGACATACTATCAAATTTTGGGTGTGAGCGTCCAGTGTTTCAGAAATGCCACACAGGCCAGGACAATTGTTGATGAGGTACAGTCACTGTGGAGGGGCAGGCTGGTGCTTACCCCTGGTCCTTACTGTGTCATGGCTCTGTAGTGACAACTGTATGTTAAGTATTAAAAAAAGAGTTTGGTTGGCATTCCAGTGACACAGCTTTATGGGGTGGCCCCAAGGCCTCTGTCAGAACTTGCCTTGTTAATTTTTCTTACTTACAGGACATTCAGAGAATCAGATGAGATCTTCAAAGGCTAACAGTACATCTGAAATGAACTCGGGAGGTTGAGAGTGAGGGATTCTGCCCCTGTTCTCTGCATGGGCATGCCATGAGCCTTCAGTCTTACCTGCATCTGGGATGCTGTCCACAGAAATACGGGATGATGTAGAACAGCCTGGGGTTGGAGCACTCTGGATAGTTTTCAAGAATACACTCATTGATATCCTGGGAGAGAAAACAGCAGTGAGGTTCTGTGGCCTTGGCAATGACCTTGTGAAATGCCACACAGTGTAAAATTGATCCTTAAATTCCTTGAGTAAGCCTGAGGAGACGTCAAGAACTCAGATTTCATGAGCACGCTCCGCCCTCACACCATCCTGTTCCACTCCAGTGCACACCTGCTCAGGGCATTTCAGAGTGCTGCTTCTGGTGAGGAGACTGCATCTCTGTGTTCCCAGACTTCTGTCGCAAGCACCTGGAGAGCAGTCTGGCCCCTGTGGCCTGTGTGGTGCCAGCAGTGCCAGCCAACTGGTAGGTATACAGTTGACACTTAACACGTATTTGCTGAGTGTCAGTATGACTTAATTCTTACTTCGTTCCAACTGAATCAGAGATCCCCACCCCAGCCCCACAGACATGTGTTTCCCTGTGTATCTACACATCCAACAAATAATTAAGTGCCTCCAACAGTCACATGAAGGGTCTGTCCATTTTGGAGTAGCTGCAAAATCACTTCCAATGTTCTATTTGGTTAGAAAGTGACAGGATGCTTGCATTACAGACATTCTTTCACTTCCAAGGGCAGATTTTCTCTCTCTCCTCCGTGAGGTTAATTAAACACGTCTGTCCTGTGAGCATTCGAGTGTACATGACTTGCTGGGGTGAACAGAATGGCTACACGCCAACTACTATCAAGGCAGGCTACAATGACCACCTAGAAAAGACCCTGGCTCCTAGGTAGTTCTAGGGAGACAAGATACTCCTGTTTACAAGCACCCATCAGGGATGGGTGTTTTCCCATAGACAATGCTGTCAAGGCCAATCCAGAGAGGATGCAATGCGCAAACATGGTCACAGGTGGGTGGAGCTTCTCAGTCATTTGAAGCCACCGTATCTGATATAATGGGGCTAGGTGGTTATTACCGATTTTTTCCTTTAAGTTGGGAATGAGGAAAATATAAATTAAACTTATTATTTTTACAATAACCCTTTCTTTCTTTCCCCCCTTCATGCTTCTTTGGTTTATATATTAATTAAATAAATAACACAATTACAATACCAAATTCAACTGGAACAAACACATTCAGCAACAGACACACTCGAGGCTTTTGAGTCTACCGTGGGAAGCAGAGGAGCACGGTCCCCAGAAAGGAACATGCGACTGCTTCCCGACTCATGTCTTTTTTTTTTTTTTTTTTTTTTTTTAATTCTCACCCGAGGACATTTTTCCATTTTTTGTTCAGATCGAGCAGGAGGGAGAGAGAGGAAGAGAGAGAGAGAGAAACATCAATGTGAAGGGACACATCGAGTGGCTGCCACCCGCACGACCCAACCAGGGCCGGGACAAACTGCAACTGAGGTACGTGCCCTTAGCGGGAACCGAACCCGGGTCTCTCTGGACCGCAGGCCGACGCTCTACTGCTGAGCCAAACCGGCCAGGGCCCGACTCATGTCTTGATAAACCCGTCGCAAGTCGAAAATGCCGTACATCAACATGCGTGTAATACACCTACCCTACCAAACACCAGGGCCAGCCTTACACGTGCTCAGAACACTGGCATTGGCTGCAGCTGGGCAAAGGCATCTCGCTGCTGCTGCACGGAATCATGACAGCATCTCACATGCCGTGTCACTACCCCCGGAAAGGTCAAAATTCAAAGCACGTTTTCTCCCGAATGCAGTTCGCCTCATTGTGTATAGAAGCCCATCAAAAATGCATGATGTTAGAGCCCAAATATTTTTCCTAAGAAGAATTGGACACGGAAATAAGGATATTCATCCCTGAAAGATTTATTGCAACAAAACATAGCAGAACTGAAATGCTCATTATCGGGAGAGTGATTCTCAGAGAAGTCAGGGCATATTACTGCGTGAAATCTGAGCGCCTGGGAAGAACGAAGCATCTGCAGGTACCGGCCCAAAAATTCTGGATGAATTTTCAAATGAGAAAGAGTCAACCGTAGGACAATATAAACACGTAGGGCAACATAAAAACAAACATATATATTTACACAAACACAAACATGTCTGGAAGGGTACGCACCGAACTGCTGAAAGTGGTTATTTATCGTGGTAGATGTAAAGGTATATGGGAATACATTGAACTTTTACTTTATTTATTTTTGAAATGTGAGCTTATATTATAATGTATGTATTTTACTTTCATTGTCAGAAAACTATAGGGAGACTTACACATTGTAAAACGAACCAAGCTTGTGTGGGAGGGTGCCCCCACCTTGCCGTGAGGATGCTCAGACTCCCTTCCTCTTTCACATCCCAGAGGTCCTTGGCAGCTGGCTCCTCCAGACACTGAGCCTTAGGTCAGAGGGACCAGTAAGTGGGCTCAGAGGGAGGGAGCCAGGAGCTGGGTGAGAAGCAGAGCGCAGGGGAACTCTGGCCAGGGCAGGTGTGGTCAGAGGCAGAGGTCAAGATTTCACCCCAAAGGGTGGAGTAAAGTGGGGGTGGTTCAGGCGCTGTACAGAGATCTGTCCTATACACAGTCAGCTCCCCAGAGACCAGTATTAACAGGAGGGACCGGGCAACCAAGCCCACCAAACCTTCCACAGAACCTCTCACTGCACCTGCACTTCTCCAGAGTTCCTTTTACATGGCCTTTGAAAACCGTATGCCTTCCCTGATTCATTTCACTTAGCGCAGCGCCCTCTAGGTACATCCACGCTGTCACAAATGGTAAGCGTCCATTCTTTTTTATGGCCGAGTAATATTCCATTGTATATATGTACCACCACTTTTTTTATCTACTCGTCTGTTGATGGGCACTTGGGTGGCTTCCATATCTTGGCTATTGTAAATAACACTGCAATGAACATAGGGGTGCATGTATTCTTCTGAATTAGTGTTTTGGGTTTCTTTGGATATATACCCAGGAGTGCAATCACTGGGTCATAAGGAAGTTTCATTTTTAATTTTTTGAGAAACCTCCATACTGTTTTCCATAGTGGCTGCACCAATCTGCATTCACACCAACAATATACCATATGATTTCACTTATATGTGGAATCTAAAGAACAATGTAAATGAACAAAATAGATAAACAGACTTATAGATACAGAGAACGGACTGATGGTTGCCAGAGGGGAGTAGGTTGGGGGACTGGGTGAAAAGGTGAAAGGATTGAGAAGTACAAATTGGTAGTTACAAAATAGTCACAGGAATGTAAAATATATAGCATAGGAAATACAGTTCATAATATTGTAATAATTAGGTATGGTGTCAGATGGGTACTAGAAATACATGATTGTCTAACCACTATGCTATATACCTGAAACTAATACACAATAACATTGAATGTAAACTGTAATTGAAAAAAATGTTTAAAAATTAAAACACACACAAAAACTTGTGTCACGAGTCTCTGTGTAGGTGGTAAGTCCATGAGCACAGGCTGCCTGTTCACTGCACTTAGCACCTTGCCTAAATAATAAATAAATAAATGAACAAGGGGCAGGAAAAAAACAAGACGCACAGCCCAACGCTCTGTCCCCAGAGATCCTGGCCTGGGGGTGGGGGTGGGGAGGGCTGAGGAGCTGCAGGGGCCTAAGAAGGCCAGTTCCCTATTGGAATCCACAAATAACCTCCAAGGTCAATTTATGGGAGGACATAAATTTCTAGTTTAAGAAGTGCCATTAACAATTCTTCCTTTGTTAGATCAAGGCATGTCCTGGGGGATTTGAGAGCTTTCCAATTGAGCCCATTAGGCTGATGAATGGTGTTGGCCACAACTATCCTACGCCACAGGAGGACATAAATAAAAGATGACTCAGGTGTAAGATCAGGCGGAAGCGGTGAAGACCCTCGAGTGTGTCCGCCTGCAGCTTAGCCATAGTGAACAGTGATGCTGCATCCGGACAGCTCAAGGTTGAGGGGCCGCAGGAAAGTTCTCCTGGCTGCTCACACAGTCCACGCTTACTGGGACAGACCTCCAGTGTGCTGGGAGCCTGGATGGGGCAGTGTCAGCATAGCTGCTCGTACGTGTTCTGCTCTGACAGGCGCTGTCCAGTCCCTCTCCCCTCTTCGTTTCCCCCCATGTTAATGGTTTTATCTTTGGCATAAGGCTTCGCTATCCTGTGTTATTTACAATCACCTTTTTATACTTAAGTTCTCTTAGTGTGTGTGTGTGTAATATATATATATATATATATATATATATATATATATATAATTTTATTCTTCAATTACAGTTTACATTCAATTTCATTCTGTATTAGGTTCAGGTGTACATCATAGTGGTTAGACAATCATATACTTTACAAACAGGTCCCCCGGATATTTCAAGAATCCACCAGGCACCGTACATAGTTATTACAATATTATTGATTATAATCCCAGGGCTGTACTTTATATCTCCGGGACTATTTTGTGACTACCAGTTTGTAGTTCCTTATTCCTTTGCCTTTTTCACCCAAAATCCCCTCCCCTGGCAACCATCAGTCTGTTCTCTGTATCTGTGAGTCTGTTTCTGCTATGTTCATTTATTTTTCTCTCTAGTTTCCACATATAAGTGAAATCATATGGTATTTGTCTTCCTCTGCCTGACCTATTTCACATAACACAATACCTTCTAGGTCCATCCATACTGTCGCAAATAAGATTTCATTCTTTTTAATGGCTGAGTAATATTGCATTGCAAATAGTACATCTATATATTTATAAGACCATGCTACTTCATTTTTTTTCTTTTCATGCAGTGCTTCTAGAATAAAGTTGCTTTAAATGAAAGCTTTAATTTTATGTTGAGCTTTGATCTCAGATTGTCAGTGTGGTTGATAACTAGCCAGGCCAGTGCTTGGTCTACGGTTCTCTCCTCTGCTCCTGGACAGTGGCCTACACCACAGGCTCCCCACAGTGCCCTCCCTACCCAGGTCTAGCCCTCCTTTAAGACTCGGTGCAAAGATCAGACCCCACTCTGCTCACTGCTCACATTATTAGAGAAATGAGATATTCTCTATAACTAAGGGAATCTTTTTCATTGCCAAAAACTACAA